GATGACACCATTGAATTATCTTAAAGGAACTAAGAGATACCTCTAGGTCAGACACCCTTGTCCTTATGGGTGACTTCAACTTGCCAGACAAAACTGATACAAACAGGTCCAGGAGATTCCTAAAACACCTTCAGGATATCTTCTTGGTATAAGTACTAAGGGACCTAACTGGAAAACTGGGAAACTGGTTTTGAAGACATGGGGGTCAATCATTGCTGATCAGTTTTTAAGCACTTCTGAATAACACAGAAACAGGCAATTCCAAAATGGCAGAAGTCAAGCAGGTGGGGCAGAAGGCTGACTTGGCTGAACAGAGGTCTTCTTGTAAATATTAGGTGGAAAAAGAAAGTGTATGGCCACTGGAAGTGAGGTCAGGTGACATAGGAGAACTACAAAGATGTTGTTTGCCCTTATAGGGAGAAAATTAATGCAGCCAAAACTCAATTCGAGTTGAAGCTGGCTATGATGGTCGGGGATAATTTAAAGTGCTTTAAAAAATGTGTTACAGCAAAAGGAAGACCAGAGGTAACATTTGTACTTAATGAGGATGGTCACCTCACAAATAGGGACATAGAGAAACCAGAGTTGTTCAATGTCTTCTTCACCTCTGTCTTCAACACTGATGATGGACCTGGGTTCCCTGGAACCCTGAGCTGGAGGACTATGATGACTATGACTGTGGGAACAAACAGTCAACTCCTAACTTGTGCTGGATCTGCTGCTTCAGCCATATGCATATAAATCTATGGGGCCCAATAGGATTCATCCCAGGGTACTGAAAGAGCTGGCTGATGTCATTGCGAGACCTTTCTCAATTATTTTTAAATGGCCTTGGGAATCTGGAGGGGTCCTCATCAACTGGAAGCTGGCAAATAATGTCCCAGTTTTCAAGATGGGCAACAACAAAGACTGGTAATTACAAGCTTGTCAGTCTCACTTCAGTGAGATCATGGTAAGATCATGGAGAAGATTATTCTGGGAGTTATTCATTGGTCACAGCCAACACAGGTTCACAAAGGGAAAGTCCTGCCTAGTGAACTTAATTGCCTTTATAACAAGATTACCCACATAGTTGATGAAGGGAAGCCAGTTGATGTAATCTTGTTGGATTTTAGCAAAGCATTTGATACTGTTTCTCACAGTATCTTTCTGGACAAAATGCCCAGCATACAGCTAGACAAATACATAATGAATAAGTGGCTGTAGGAATCCATTACTGGAGAAGAAGCTTTTTCAGGTTTTGCTTTTGCTCTGTTGCTCAGTATTACAGACTAACTTCTTTTCTTTCTTGCCTGTATTAGACTTACTTTTTCAGGATATCTCAGATATGCCTAACTGATCAATGGTCTGAGCCCAGAGAACAACTTCCTTCACCATAATGTAGTCATGCTGTTGGCAGCGTTCCAGTTACCTTTAGCTGTTTGAAATGATTCTAGTTATTTATATTTATGAATATGAGACAGAAGAGATGATACAAAACAGGGGGAAAACATGACCTTTGAGACCAGCTGCTGGGAGATTGTGACCTTTGTGACCAGCTACCGGAGTCCAGGTGGTGGTCTCTAGAGCATCTCAAAGGGCATCACATGCTTATGTGTGGAAAACTGAGCCAAGCTCCTTATACCACCAGTTTGTGTAGTGCTAAATGAGGAAATAAAATACAACTTGTCTTCCTTGCCACAGTCCACTGCATGTACATCTGTATGGAAACACAAGCTGATAAGCAAAGTCTTTTTTAAATAGAAATTGGCTTAGCATGAGGATTTTGGGGGTATATTTGGCTCAGTGTAAAACATGAAAGACTGGTGGAGTGATTGACAGAGACAGAAAGGCTGAATAAAAACTTTAGGAAAAGAAAAGAAAAAGAAGATAATCAAAACAGAATGGTAACTGAAGCATTTTTTAAATGTTTAGCTTTTGGGCTCATTTTCATCATTTCCCTAATGGCCATTTACACTGCCAAAATTACTGCTATTCATTATAGTACTACTTCTCCCAGATAAACAAAAAGTCCATAAAGACTGAGCTACATTAAGGCTTTGATTAGGGTAAACCCTGTTCTGAATTTTTGGCTTATGAACATGTAAGTTACTGTACTTTTTCTAGGAATTGAATTGTTAAAAGACATTGTCCTCAGACACTGCTTTGTCATTGGCTTAGATTAGAGGGGAAGTAAAATATCCTAGAAAGAAAATACATTGTAAAGGGTCCCTTCCAACTGGGGATATTCGATGATTCTCTCTTTTTTTTTTTTTTTTTTTTTTTTTTTAATTTTTGTCCACTGACATAATTTAGTAGCACTGAATTTTTCCCTTTCTTCCTGAACCCACTAAATTATCATTGGCATTTCAATCAAAAGGTTAAGATATAGACTTCAACTCTGGTCTTCATTCAGATTTTCTGTATGTTCTGAGTAGCCACTAATCTCAAGGGAGGATTTTTCTTTATAGTTACTCAGTCTCAAACAGATGATGTCCGTAGCTCATGATCTTACACAGTTAGAGTTGAAACTTAGGCAGTGAAAGAAAGACCATATGTCACTGTCACTCACACACAGAAATGGTGTTCAAGGTGAGCATGCAGGACATCATAACTAATACAATTAATTAGTCAGGATAATAGTATCTTAAAATCTCAGTGTGACAGGACCCAGTCTGGGTGCCTGCTCCAATAAGGGTTCAATGTAAAATGATATACCTGAAGGCTCAGTCATACAAGATGCTATTCTAACCTAGAAGTGCCTTTGAGAAAATTTAACACTCTGTTTTGAATCTTTTTGGCTGTTTGGTGCCCCCACGTGATGTGGGATCTGGGTGACAGAATGTATTTAAAACCTAGAATGAATTTAAGGCCTAGAATAACGTTTCATTCTTGTTACAGTCTGGATATCTCAGACCACCTACTAGCTCAAAGGCATTTTTGGAAGACAACATTTAGAAATGTATCTTTCCTACTACTGACTACCAAGGACATGCATACACATGCAGACCTATTGACCTTGGAAAAATATCCAAAGTCTTCCCCCAGTAAGATTCCAGGGGTAGAAATTGCATTATTATTGTCTCCATAAGCTCTACATCCTGGCACTAGTGCTATTCCTTACTTGATGTGAACAGCAACAATGGAAAAAATCGCACATACTAACTGGCTAGTGATAAAGCCAACAAAAGCCAAGCAATAAGCAACAACATATTTGAAGAGTGACGTCTCCTTCAATTGTCAAGGAGTGCAAATGTAGTAGTTGGCAGATTATTCTATTTACAAAGAAACAGAACAGCAGTGGAAGATTAATTCCTGAGGTCATCATCCTTTCATCCAGGGCAAAAGCTGAAGAATATCACTCTTTTTAAAGTCAGATAGACAAGATCTGTTACAAGGGATAGCATAAGGTAAGGAAGGAAGCTGAAATTCTTTTTTCCTATCATTTGCTCTAGTGTATTTAGAAACACAGGTCATAATGGAAACCCTTTAAAGGAGGCAGTCTGCTCTCAGTGACCTTGTGATTTTAATTGGTAGGACAGGCTGGATAGACAGAAATCATCCCAAAGAAAGGGTGTAATTTCTTTCTGCTCTATTTTGCACTGCACACATTTTCAGGTGTCTTTGAAGGTGTTTTTTTTTTTTTTTTTTTTTTTTTCCCATGTAGGTTAGGTTAGCCTTTTCTAGATTTCCTCATGCTCTTGTCTCAATTCTTCCTAATTTATCTACAAGTTTCTTGAATGGCAACATCTTAAACCAAAGTATTCCAGCTAAACTCTTGTCATCCTAAGCATGTGAAAAGGATTATTTTTCATGTCCTTTGCAGATAGTGTTCTTGTTTCTTCATCCAAATGAGTTTATTTCCTTCAACAACAGAGTTCAGTTGGCACTTTCAGCTTAAGAACCATCAAATATTCCAGAGATTTCCTGAAGAGCCACTGCCACACCTTGCCTTTCTATGTATGTCCTTCAAGTGCTTAAGAGGCACTCAGGATAAACAGAGTGTGCTTTAGGCATCCCTAGACTTAGGAAACGTGTAAAAATGTGCAGTATGGACCATTCCTTTAGTTGCAAATAGATAAGTTACATGAATCATGTCCTAGGTTGCACAGAGTCTGTGGCAAAAAAGCCACACTCAAGATTTAGAGAATCTACTCTATTATACCCAACCATTACCTTGGCTAAAAAGTAGATAGATTCAGCTTTAATTTTTCAAAACAGGAATAGTGGAACAGATACTTTAAGTGCTGTTGCATGGTGCTTTAGTCCTTTGCAAGGCTAAGACCCTCTTGCAAAGCTCTGACCTGCTTTTTCCTTCTATTTGTTCCAGACCATGCATATTTAACTTAAAGAGTTAAGATGGTTGATAAATAAGAAGACCTTGTAATTGCTCTAAAATTGTGCTAGGAATTGAACAGTAGGTAGTGAGACCTTACAAAGATTAAAACTCTCCGAAATGAAACATGAACTTCTGTACAAATGGTTAATGGCCCATCAGACTTTGAAGGTGAATGAGACCATCACAGTGTTAATTGAAATATGCTTGGCTTCCACTGACACATTTGTTGTAAACTTTTTAATAACAGGAATGAATTTTACTGAAATCATCATCACATCTGCAGAATAAAAAGATTTGGAATAGACTGTATAAACAGTTATGTCTAGTTATCATCCTGATTTGGTGATAAACTGTGCTCCAGTGCAGCCTTCAGAGTGAAAACTACAAAGCAAATCTCAAGAAACTGTTAGTGCATAGTGCCATTACTCACACAGCTCTCACACAGAGTCAAGACATAGAAGGAGAAAGGATGTCTTCTGAGAAAGTCCCTCAGTGACACTGGATGTTTATTATATTATATGTAACATGCCAGTCAAGTATTTTAATCTGTTAGGAGCATCAAAAGGACACCAGCGTGAGTAAAGACATGGGCTTCCAGTAAAACTACAGCAAGACACCACTACACCACTCATTGCACAACTGCTAATGCTATTTATGCTATAATGCTATGTTGAACTGTTCATTCTCAGCTGGGAGTGGGAGTGACTTGTGATGATTAAACAAGTAATAATATATTATCATATGTCAACATGATTCTTTTTTATTTATTTATTTATTTATTTTTTTACTGGGAATGTAAACTGTTTTCCTGCAATCAGAGTTGATCATAGGGGAAAAAATGCAGAAGCAATGGTCCTGGAACATTTGTGGGAAGTGAAGTGCTGGAGGCAAAGTTCCTTGCACAAGAGATGAAGGACCTTGGTCCTCAAATTTGGCTGAGGAAAGAGTGATGGCTGTGAAAGAAGAAAAGAATCAGACAGGCATAACAGCATTATATAAAAAGCAGATGAGCAGACTCTCCAAGGGAGAGAGAAAGGGTATGTGAAACAGTTACTTGCTAACCCCTTCATTAATGATTATGACTAATTATAGCCATTAACAATGAATGCATAATGCCATATCTGATATGTAGTTATTTCACTGCAAAGTACAAGTGCTGTCATGTATATTTTCTTTCACTTCTTAGCCAATGTTAGCTAATCAGATGAAAAACCGTCTTGATTATGTCTGAGAACAGAAACTCTACTCTCTGTAGTAACCTTAAAGTAATGACATATCTTATTTGTGTAAACAAATGGTTACTTCATTTTAATTTACTCTTGGGTCACTTTGGGGGTAACAAGGAACACAGAATAACACCGTATTAAGCTGATGAATGGGCAGTCAATTGATTCATTGCAAATGAGGAGAAGAGTTCATTAATCCATTCATGAAAGGATTCTGGCTCTTTTTGCAAGTGAATTCCATGATTCCTAGCAGAGAAGCAGAAGAAAGCTTTCTAGCTCTTTCTTTGGCCTACTTTCTTCTGTTGGTGCTTCCACTGGGAAATCTTTTTCAGTTGTAAAGATTTTATAAAAGGACCATGTAGGAAAAATGATGGTAAATTTTTGGTAATGAGACTATAATTTTTGAGACTGAAATTTTAAATGAGACTGTATTTTTGGTAATGAATCCATAGTACCTGTACTGTATATGTCAGCCTTATGCAGAAGTTCTAAATACTCTGGGGTGATGCAAATAGCATTAGGCATCTGTTTCTTTGCAACAGCATGCTTGCAAGTATGCTAGGTATAGATATATTTGTATGCTAACATATATATATGCTATGCAACCAGAGGTCAGGCAATGCCAGAAACAGCAGTAGACATCAAAATCTATGGAACTGAAGATGAAACAGAATTCAATTTCTGATGAGGATATCTAAATTTAGGCAACCTGGGAGGTATTTAATCAATACCTTTTGAGATACCATAGACTATCTTTCCTGTCTTGTAAAAGCTGCTCAGAAATGTCCTCCACAGGTCTTGTGTCATATCTTGTAGTTGCCTGTGGATGCTGTATTTACTCCTGGGCACTCAAAAGGCCCTTAACATTAACTTGTGAGCAGCTGAGTCAGTTCTAGAAGGGTTTAGACTTGTTCTTTCAGCTCACTTTGTAGCCAGGAAAAAGAAGGCAGCTTCTCACTGAGTAGGAAAAAAGCCTGTGGAATGATGTGGAATTCAGAAAGTAAGAGAATAAAAGTGAGGAGCTGTTGACTTGTTCTGTATGCATATTGATTTGAAACATTTTGTCAGATATAACATTTAAAATAAAATGATCTGTTCAAATACCTAAGCATGAACAGATAAACTTTGTAAGCATCCATTCAGTTCAGATATATGACCAAACAAAGCATATGAGAAACCTATCCTAAATTAAAGCAAATAATTCTAAGGAAAACAACAATGGGTTATCAGAAATAACAAAGATGAAAACCTTGATGTATGCTAAGATGCATATACATCAAGAGATGATGAAACAAAAAGAGACATTAGATATAAGTAATGAATCATAAAACGCATGATTTTTAAAAAAACTGCAAGCTTTTCAACTAAGTTTAGACAAGTCAGGGGGGTGTTTGTGTCCATACATCACAAAGGCAAGTAAACAGAAAACACTCCCTAGTTAAAGTCAGGTTTGCAATTTCTGAAGATCCAATAAAAGGAACTGAAGTAGGAAGCACAGGAAGAAAGGAAGTGAATGAATTTGTACAGATTTTATCAAATCTATGCAGCTATGTGACTTACAATTTTTACCTGTTTAAAGTGTTAGTTTACCACTATGAAACTAAACTCATAGTTATGAAAAACAAGAGTTATTCCTTTCAGTTGGAAGCTTTGAACATGTAAACTGCATTTGAGAGCCTGTTTATATCTGGAGTTAAAAAACTTGGAAAAAAGACTAATCAAGTCTTGATTGTTTGAACAAGACCCTAAGTAGGATATTGATATCAAGTAGATACCTTACCATCTTTTTCTGCATGGAGTAATCTGGTTGAACCCAAACCATTCACTATCTCTGGCAATAATCAAAGGTTGATCTTATTTCAAATACTTGTCAGCAAACAGGATGAAAAAAAAAATAGAGAAAGAAGTAGAACACTCAACACCTACCTCCCCCCCCCCCCTTTTTTTTTTCCTGTTGTGCTTTCAGTTTTTCATTACTTGTTGCTAATATCCCATGAAAGGTGAAGAGAAAGGCAAGGTATTTCTGACCTCCAGCTGGTGCTACCAAGACTGTTGCCTTTCATAGAATCATGGAATCATAGAATTACTAGGGTTAGAAAAGACCTCCAAGATCATCTGGCCCAACCATTGAATCTTCAACATGAATGAGTTTTGAATTCGTTTCAAAGGTAATGAATGAGAAAATAAAAATGAAATAAACCATACAGTTACTAGGTAATGCTGCAGACTCTCTGGAAGTTGAAATGATTACCTTGATCATAAGAAATATTCCTCAACTCTGTGAATGAATGTGGCATTTCATAGAGGTAATGCAATGCTGATGGTAATGGGTAGACCATTCACTCATGTTCTTACTCACTATTTGCTGTAGACTTTATGTTGCCTTCTGTTAGAAAAAGTGGAAAAACTTGCTTCCTTTGTCCTGGATGCTGCTCTCTGGGTCATATGAAGCTACTGAGAGGAGGAGGAAATTTCGAGTATCTAGATGTGCACATCTGGAAGTAGCATCTGGATGAGAAGATGTGACAGCCAATGTGAGAACATGAGGAAGCCCACAGGCAAGATCCTCCAGTGTTTAGACATGGGAAGATTTCTGAGAGGCTTAGGAAACAGATATGTAGCCGTGTCTTAGAGGTGATGGGAAGAAAGCTTTGCCAGTGGACCCCATGCAGGCTGTCTAGTATTTGTTGTAACCCAGGACACCAGAAAAAAGCTGTTGGCCTGAGAGAAGACTGGTGAAAAGGATCTGCCTGCCAAAGGGCAATTTTGTTTTCTAACCTTTTATTTTAATCTGTCTCATCTGTTGGATTCAGCTCACTCTGTCTTCAAAAATCAGTTTTTTTTTTTTTTTTTTTTTTTTTTTCTTTCTTTCTCTGTGTTTTCAGAAATCTTGGCTGTAGAGATCCTTTGCTATTTTTGGCACTCTTCCTTTAAGTGCAGACAGATGCACCTCAAAGTAGTGGCTGGCGTGTAATCATTTCAGAGTCAGCAAGGCCTGGATATATCCCATTGTGCATTAGGCATAAACCTGAAGTAATTAAGGGGAGGAATAACCTTTTCTAACTGCAGTTCACTGTAAAAATAGATGTTTAGGGAAGCCTTTACCTGGAAATGCCTTGCCATGCTTGTGAGAGGTGGGCTGGAGGCATGGAGCAGGGCAGGCCTGTTGCTCCTCCTGACTATGTGGGCACCTTTTGTGCAGTGAATTAAATTCCTACTGTCTGAGGATGTGAATCTTTCTCCAAGAACTAAGAAATTTAAATGCTTTTCTTAAAAAAAAGTGCACAATTTTATGGCAAGCTAAAAGAGAATTTGGACAGTGATAAGATTTTTCTTATTGTGAATTCTATTACATTGATTCGACAAGATAAACACCCTGTTAGGTTTAGATCTCACACAGTATCCTATATTTCTGGTCTGGTATTTCTAATAAGGGACCATTCCTGTGAATTACAACAAGTAGTGTAATGTTTGTTTTTTTTTTTTAGGGAACACAGAAGAAGGCTGTTTACGATGGAGGAAAAATGTTTCAGATATTAACTGGTAGTTTTTCTCCTGTTCTCTTATTTGAAAGCACTTGTTAAGGAATAGGAAAAAGGAGATGAATATGTGGAACCTTACACACAGGCAACAGTGCTGTGATCCTCTCAGTAGATTTGGGAAACTGTAGTAACTATTTCAATACTACCTAGAGGAAAGAGAGACGTTGCCATGGAGTGATATCAGAAAACTCTGTGAGTCTCTTGGAAAAATAATTGTTGTTTCTCTTTATTAAAGAGAAACTAAGACAAAGTTGAGAGAAGAACTTGCTAACTATTAGGAGCTACTTTGTGGCCACTGCACAACCATGGGCAACCTGCTGTAGATGGCTGTGCTTAAGCACGGGTTTGGACAAGATAACATCCAGAGGTCCCTTACAACCTAATCTGATTCTGTTTCCTAGGCTGGAGTTTATCTTGTTTCTCAGAACAAGTTTATTCTTTCAAGAAAGGAGGGGAAAGACTCTCAGGCTGGAAGTGTAGACAGGGGGATCTATGAGGCAGGCAGTGCCATTTACTTTTTCCCAGTGTGTGTGTGGTACTCTTGGCCATGGCTGTCTAAGCCATTTGTGTACTACTCAATGTAAGTGTTAAGAATCATAACCAGTGCAGGGAACCAGGAAGTCACATTTTATGTGGTTGCCTTGAGTCAAATCTAAGTGAAGAATAGATTTATTTTCCATCAGATCTTACTAATATATATCTGATGCATCTGTCTACGCGTACTTATATCCATATACAGCATTTACAATTATGTCTCTATATTGGCATCCATATATATCATGGACAGATGCATATATAGTGCATATATTTGAGTGCTACTAAGACGTTTCTTTAATTTATCACTACTGTTCTGTTTTTAGAACAGAAGTATAAAAATTATATGAATTTGTGACAAACACTAAAATAATATCAGGTTATTCATAAAAAGTTTATTTAGTGAAAAAATACAGATTTTTCAAGCTTGTGACTTCAACAAATACAGTAAGGTTAGTGTCTGGTGAGAAGAGCAGAGCTTTGCATCATCCATAGAAATCAAAACCATCTGTGAGCCTAAGAAAGCACTGCAAGGAATCCCAGCAGGCACCCTTGAACATGATTAACAATAGCACTTTAAAGGAGTACATTTTCAAAGTGATGTGTGAGGTTTTAAACTTTTGACATCCACCAAATGTGATGAAAGTCATGTAGCTAAAAGTCGTGCAATCCTGTGAAATTTGAGAAGATTAGGATAATTTCATCATATGACATGAGAACCATATGATTAAAGTG